GGCTAAAAGTATATGACAGAAGAAGTATAAGCACTTCTAGGTCTGGTTTCTGAAACTTCTCACATGATCCTCTATGGTCTCTCTTCCTTCCGTGGAAGATTGGAAGTCACACACTGAACATGGCAGCATCACCTTTGTGGAAGAAGTCGAGTCCCTCCAAGGAGCTGAGCTGAGTGCAAACGGCATGGAACAGCAACATTTAGTATCTCATGTCTAAATCCTGAAAAAAATCTGTGCTGTCTATACCACAAGGGAAGCTGTAATTCCTTTCTAGTATTTCCTATAAAAATGTTTTAAGTCCAGATTCAGCATTAACATAACATAATCATAGGTCAAAATGATAATCAAACCAAAAATTTAACAATGGACTTAATACTAGAATTTGAACAAAGTATTTTCATAAACTTCATGAAAAGTTCTGTTTAATCCAATAGAAGCTTCTTTCTTTTAAAATTTTATATTATTTCTAACTTTCTAAATTTACAAGGCAGATTTATAAATTCATCAGTGACCACATGTCACTCTTAAGGCAAACTGGGACATTTCTTTATAAAATTCTCAGTGCTATCAAAGTTATCAATTGGGTGTGCAAAACCAATCCCAACAAACCAATTCAAGGAAACTTTTCTTCCTCTCTAAAAGAGTCAGGAGACTATATATATTTAAATATTAAAAACACATTTAGTGGAATACATGTAAATACATATGTTTTACATGTATATGTAAAAAATTCTTTAAAACCATAAATATTCAAATAGCAGAGTGTAATAAAATATACTTATTATCTAATTTTGATAACTTAGAAGGAAATCAAAATAGTATACTGTCACAAAGTCTTTTATCTAAAAACAAACTATCCAAGTACCTATTTTCTCACTAGACTCCTAGTGCCGGAACAGTGGGGAATATTTGTTGAATCAATGAATAAATTAGTTTATTTTGTATTAGAAGGCATAAGTACATAATAATTTTGATTCAACCAACTTTACAAATAGAAAATATTATTCATCAGTTACCTTAGTCATTACTCATTACTCACTACTAGAAAATACAGGGTGGGACAAAAGTAGGTTTGCAGTCATTGTATGGAAAATAATATAAGAATAAATAATAATACCAGAATAAACTGCATCATGTAGTCACAACTGTAAACCTACTTTTGCCACACGCTGTGTGTTGAATGAATCAATAAATATAACTGTAGTGAATGCTGTGACTCATCATCCAGAACCCCTTCATAACTGAAGGGCTTGTTTTCCTAACTGTTGGCGTAATGCTGGCAGACAGCCCTCAGATGTCAGCTTTCTTAGGGGGTCGAATAAAAAGCCATTTTGGCCTAAGGTCATACTCCTTCCTGAGGCAGCTTGACTCTAATTGAGGCAGGACAGTAAGAAGCCAGGAAAATTTCTGGGTAAGTGGGATGTGGAAACTGAGACAAGATAATTAAACAAGGCCAAACAATTTAACCAATTTACAGCCAGCTAGTAATCGTTAAGACCTTATCATCCCTAACCAAGGACATTTGAGAACAAATGGTTTATACCTCTCCTCCCTGACCAAAGAATAAATAGCTTAAATCGCCCAGGTGAGGGAGATAGAGGACAGAGACTCAATTAATGCAATTTGTGCCAGCCAAACCTAAGGATGGATGAAGTTAGAGGAACAAATACCAAAAACCAATTACAGCCAGACAGACCCAAGATAAAAGTAAAGGAGTGAAACTGAGCAGAGGATAATCCCAAACTCCCCTATATGCTCACTTTGATGCGTCAGTATGTTAAAAATGCACCTGGAAAGCTGATGAATATTCTGCTGAAACCCTCCCCTAAGATTCTCGCTCCCAGAAGAGAGATAAAAACCCTCAAGACAAAGGATGCTGGGCAGGCTCTCTCTGGAACACGCCCATGCACCTTCTCAGGAATGAACTTTTTACTTCCTTTCTCCTAAATTCTGAGGTCCCCATGAGACTTGCAACCAGGGGAGCAGCAGGTAGTGGAAGCTTGTCCAGGGCTTACCACCTGAACTTGTCTCCAAAGCCCCCTTTTTCTCTGGCTTTCCAGTAAGGTAAAAACAGTCCCACCCTGGTTTATCTCTGTCACTGTGACTTTTACTTCCCAGCGAGCTAACAGTAGCCCCGCCTTGGGGCTCACATTTTAGGGAGCTAAAGCAGAGCACCACATAGGCTCTCTCCTGTTGTTTCTTCTACCCTAAGTCCTTCCTTTGTTTCACTGCCCCCCATTTTAATAAATGTACTCTCAAAATCACCTGGACTCATACTGTGAAATCTTTCCTGCAGGATGTCAAGAACCCATATACTACAGGCCAGCCCGAGGTAGACCTGCTCCGGACCCAGTCGCCATCTGCTAACATAATAATTGGGAATATAAAGACCCAGCTCCCCTTACCCCAAAATGAGACAACTATGAGGATCACCCCAGCTTCAGAGCTCACTCTTGGGTTTGTTGCATCACAGTCCAACTTCCACAGAAATTGGGCTTCGTTCCTTTGTATGGCATTGGTCCCAAAAGGCCTCTAGTAAATTTGCTACACTCTAATTTCCATCTGAGAGTCTGCTTTCAAGAAATCCAACCTGAGACAAAAGAGGATTTAGGTCTGATCCAGATTTAAACTACCCAAGGAAAGGTATTTGACTTCGTATTAAAAGTCAGTAAATATAAAAGGGTTTACAAAGGCTAAGGAATGATAAACTCTTTTATCCCTATAATTTGTTTACATTTCAGCTACTTTAAGTAATCAAGAGACCTAGAGTATTTTGAGGATTGCCTCAAAAAAGTGCATCTGTTTTACTATCATGTAAGCTATTAATGATAAACTACCAAATGCAATTCTTGTCTAACTTAAAAGCAAAAAAATAAAATAAAATAAAAAATTAAACAATGAATTTAGTGTAAACATGGTATAAAGCACTGCAGAGAACAGAGCTGTTCTTATGGGCATTAATTAAATCTGAGTTGATAAGGAATTGCTTCACCACTAAAAGCTACTCAATGCATTAAGTACTACAGTACTTTTATTTTTAATCTTTACCTGAGGTTATGTTTCTTGTTTGTTTTTTTAAGGTTTTTTTTTTAATATATCTTTATTGATTTCAGAGAGAGGAAGGGAGAGGGAGAGAAAGAGATAGAAACATCAATGATGGGAGAGTTGTCATTGATAGGCTGCCTCCTGCAAGCCCCGGACTGGGGATCGAGCCCACAACCCGGGCATGTGCCCTGACCAGGAATTGAACCGTGATCTCCTAGATCCTAGGTCTATGCTCAACCGCTGAGCCACACCCAGCTGGGCTAAGGATATGTTTATTGATTTTAGAGAGAGAGGAAGAAAGGGAGAGAGAAAGGGAGAGAGGAAGGAACGGGGAGACAAGAGAGAGCTTGAGAGAGAGAGAGAGAGAGAGAGAGAAACATTGATGTGAGAAACTTTGATGGTTCCCTCTCATACACGCCCTGACTGGGAATCTAACTCACAACCTAGGTGTGTGCCCTGTCCGGGAATCAAGCCTGCAACTTTTTTAGTACATGGGACAATGCTCCAACCAACTGAGCCACCCAGTCAGGGCTTAAGTATAGTACTTTTAATTGCAAAAGACAGAAATGCAATGCTTACAAAAAAGTCACTATTAAAATGTGAACAGTTACAAATTATCAGAACTATTCAATGCACAGCTGAGTGAAAAATAAATGAATAAGCCACAAAACTATTTGCTTTATCTGGACACAGCTCCATTGGACTCAAGCTATTTGGGGCTTAAATAATACCTTAACATTGCAATAATGGTTGATGAAGTTTAACTATTAAATTGAGGTTCAAGGATTATTTCAAGACTACAAGTACTCAATTCCTACGATTTAAAAAAATACATATGTTTTATTGATTTTACAGAGAGAGGAAGGGAGAAAGAGAGAGAAAGAGAAACAGTGATTGGTTGCTTCCTGAACAGAACACAACCTGCAACCTGGGCATGTGCCCTGACTGGGACTCAAACCAGCAACCTTTTGATGCAAGGGACAACACTCAACCAACAGAGCCACCTTGGCTAAGGCAAGATTTTTGAAACTATAAGACTATTTGCTAATTTGCTACACAGGTTGGCTAGCACTAGCCATGCTTTCTAATATCACCTAATAATTCATGCTCACTACTAAAATCTGAAGGTTTTGCCAAAGTGTATAGATCCCAGTATTCAGCTTTTCTATAGAAGTTAAATGAGTGGTCTCTACATGGAAAAAGCTTCAGACTATATTCCCTGGAAAATGGTCCAAAAGGCATTTAGCAGATGTGCATATAATGTTGATCTTTCCAGGATAAGTGACACTTAATTCTATCTATGTATATTTCAGAAAACATACCTAAATTTGAATCATCTGCTATGTGAAAACTTAAGAGGCATGCTGAGTGACACTACATACCAGCATGCCCTTTGCCATACTTCTTCACTATTATGCTCTCTTCTTTTCTTTCAATAAAGTGAATCAACTAAATAATATTACTTGTCTGCAGAGACATGTTTTGAAAGTCACAACACACATAAAATATTTCAGTCAGAATTAGTATCACTAAGTTACTACAATTAGATTCCACACAAATACTTCATTAATTTATTTAATCCTTAGCTTTCTTATAACATAAAAGCAACCACTCAAAACCCATATTTATTTTTAACACTGCTTTTATTTATTTCTTTGTGCTTTCCTCTAAATATCTCCTGCATATATTTTCTTATTTAAGGAAATGCATTAAAAATCAGCATTATTATTATTACCTTTATGTATAACAGCATAATACTTAATTTCTTGCCAAAATTAAACAGCTTATAAGTTGCTTTATTTTATGTGTTTTTTAAAAGACGGTTACTCTGTAATTAATTATTTAGAAGGACAGCTTCCTAATGGCAGATCCTTTAAATACAGAGAAACAGAGTCATCTCTTAAAATCTACATTATGTGGAAAGTCTGAAATGTATTAGGCGTCTGTCATCTTACCATGAACACTTCCTAGTGTAATATCCCCAGCAGCAGAAGATAGAAATGAAGATTCTGTGTAAAGATACTTGGCTTTCAGCAAACCATCTTCAGTAGCTATAGTAACAGAACTTCCCTGCAGTTTATCTACGGTCACAGTCTAGTAAGAGAAAGACTCAAGTCAGTTCATTATAAAACAAGGACTGGTAAAAAGCCAAAATGGTACTTACAGAAGTAGTAGGTAACAACATAAAAAGTTAGTATCCAATCACTTTATTGACTTTGATTCCCTAAATAGGTCAATTACAAAATTGAGAGGAACAGTGTACTCTCTGTGGAATGTGAAATAGACCCATTATATTCGTTTATTTAGATCTTCTTTAATTTCTTTTAATAATGTTTTATATTTTCATCTTTTGTTAAACTTATCCTATTTGATATTTCTAAGTGCTATTATAAAAGATATTTTTAACTTCATTTTATCTTAATTGGCCTTTTTATTTGACCTTAAATACAACTTCACTAAACTCACTAATTCTAATAATTTACCTGAATTAAAAAATGCTTTCTACATGCACAATTATATTATCTGCAAGTGATAGTTGAATTTCTTCCCTTCCACGCTTTACATTATTGATTTTCCTGCTGCTTCCTCTCATACGATCTGGCTGAGGCCTCCAATTCAATGGTGAATAGAAGCCACGGGACCACAAGAATTCTCACCTTTTTCCTGTTCTGAGGGAAAGCTGACAACACTGCATCCCTGAATAGGTGTTTGCTGTTAGATCCCTTTTTGATCTCTTTTATCAGATTAAGGAAGTCCTCTTATATTTCAAGTTTGTTTTGTTATTGTTTAAATCATAATGGGTTTTGAATTTTAGCACATACTTTATCTGATTTTATTAGACTATCATGATTTTTCTCCTTTCATCTGTTAATGCAATGAATGCACTATTATTTTTAGAAATTTTCCACTTTACATCTATTAAGGCAGTAGCTTTCCACTGAACAAAATGGAAGGACTTTTGTATTTATCCCTAAGCTTCCCTAACAAAATATAGTATTTATGTCTCAAATATTGAGCACAATTTAAATGAAGATATCTAGTTTAGGATTGCAAATCATCTTTGTAGTATTTTAAACAAATGTTTTTAAAGCATAAAGTGAATGTTAATATAAAATTGTTTTTTTGTTTGTTTATTTTTAAATATATCCTTATTGATTCCAGAAAGAAGGAAGAGGGAGAGAGAGAGCTAGAAACATCAATGATGGGAGAGTAGTCATTGATCGGCTGCCTCCTGCACGCCCCCAACTGGGGATGGAACCCGAATCCTGGGAATGTGCCCTGACCAGGAATCGAAACGCCATCTCCTGGGTCCTAGGTTGATGCTCAACCTCTGAGCCACAGCCTGCTGGGCAACATAAAATTGTTGATATAGAAACTGAAGTCACCAGGAAGGCTTGCCAGTTTTGCCCAGAGTCAAATTCAAGTATTACACTGAGGTGTTTAAAGAAAGATCACTGTTTTTCAACACATGGGCATCAGTGTAACCTGCTCCTAATATGTCTTTCAAAAACTGTTAAAAGGTCAAAATATTTTTAATACAAATTCAGTTTCAAGAATACTTAAATATGAGAAGAGAAATATAACTATGAAAAAAGAAAGAAAAGTACCTTGAGATTCTTATGGGAAGCAGATTAGAATACTTGGCCTTGGATTTGAAATCTATAACATTCTTTTTTAATGGGCTTTGATTAAATATATAATATACAACCAACAGCTTCTTACCTACTATAGCCTGTTTTAAGGTAATTATAGATTCACAGGAATTTTACTTTAAATTTAGTTTTAATAATTCTGTCAAAGGAAAATAGATATATTCAAATTTGTGAGAATACAAATGTTTTGCAGTCTTCAGTGTTATAGTAAAGGTATAAAATTCCTGAAAAATTTACTTTTTACCTACAAAGTTTCTTCATGAAAAGTTGCCTTATACATGGTTTTAAATTCTCCAAGTTTCTATAAACTAGTTAACAAGTAGGAATACTCTAGCTTTTTACAAATACAGAAGCTGTTTTAGGGATCACCAAAAGATAGATAAATATTGAGAGAATAGTTGAAACTTAATTCAACTGGCAAAGGGGCACTTTTGATTAGATTCTCCCCACAACCAAATAAAGCCTTTAAGAGACTCTTTATGAATATCTGGAAAATGTCAAGGATTTACTTTATTCATTAAACATGAAATATTTTAATCTGTAGGACGCAAGAAAAAAATCCTCCACAGCCCCACCAAAGCAAATGAATGCAAGTGAAAGTACAACAATTCTCCCACCACAATAATATAGTTATTTTAACCGATCGTTCTATAAAATTAATTTCAAACAAATTCAAAATTCATTAATATAATACACTATATCAAATAATAACTAGAACAATTAAACTTAAGACACCACAGTTTATATCAAAACACTGAGGCTCTGATTTATAGTTACTAATTATAATAAAACAATCATAAATAGACTCTTTGGATTAAACTATATAACTTGCTTATTAACAGAAATAGCTATTTAAAGAAAGAAAAAATAGATTAAAAAATCAAAATCAATTCCTGAAAGAGGTATTGCTATAAATTAATAATTTTCTTTTCTATATGAGAGGAAAAACTTTTCATAAGTTTAGTTATTATAAATCAACATTACATATAATGAAAATCACGTTTTAAGGAAGCACTGTGGCTTTGTAGTCCAACCTAAGAAAGTCAATTGATAACTATGTCATTAATTCACCCAATAGTCAAATGAATTTCTATCTTCTCTGTACCAAACTTAGGATACTGGAATTAATGATATAATTTAAAAATAGCAACTCCATATAAAATAACAAGTAAAGAATGCTGTTAAGTGTTTATAGAACTCACTTGATTCTCATAATCTTGTTGACTAGGAAAAACAAATTATACCATCCTTATTTTATGAATAATGAAACGAAGTCTCAGTAAAGTTAACTGGTCAAATCAGGACTGATCAAGTTATCTTTGTTATACTTCATCTACCTTTATCATCATCATTGTATTAAACACTATATTAGAGTTAGCTATGACCCAGACATTGTTTTAAGTACGTTGTCTATATTAACTCATTTAATCCTCATAACAATCCTCTGAGTGAAGTACATTACTATTATTCTATTTTTCATAAAATGCTGACACAAAGAGATTAAGTAATTTGTCAGAAGTTAAAGAGCTTAGTGAGTAGCTGAGCCAGGATTGAAACCCAGATAGTCTGGTGCTTAATTATGTGCTCTTAACCAATTCACAATGCTGCCTCTCAAATATGCAAAGCACAAGTCTGTAAAAGTAGTATATTAAACATTAACATATTTCATAAGCATTTACTTAATGTAAAAACCCCTTAATCTTAGAAATATGCTTTAAAAATTAAACTATAATATAAATAGAAAGAAATATCTAGACTGATTCTTTAGTACAACACAAAACTCAAGCAAGAAAACAAAACAGTATAATAGAAAATAGGAATAAATGAATATGTGATAAACCACAAAAGTTGAAAGAAAGAAATAATGAGTAGAAACAGTGGCAAAAATATTCAAAATAGCAAATAATTAAGAGATGATTTAAATTCTTCTCTGATACTTATATTTGAATGTCAATATGTAATATTCTGGTAACTTAGATCATTTCAGATAACATAAGCTATCATTTAACGCACAGAGTTTGAAGGAGCTAAAAATAGTTGTCCAATTTCCCTTTTGTATCTCCAAGACCACAGCAATCTGAGAGGTGAAACTCAATGCCATCTCAAAAGAGTTGCCACATAAGGCAAGGAGGTATCTTTCAATACTTTCCCAGTTCAATTTAAAGGTTAAATTTAAATGTGTGGGTTTAAACAGTCTCCCACAGATTGATGACAGAAAATAAAAGTGACAATAGTAGAAACAATTAGTGTTATAATCTACCTTGTTTATAGTATGCCAACAGTAATCTACCTATCAGATACACTCACAACTCTTCCCTACCAATTATCTGAGAATAAAACTCAGTATGAAATTTAACAAATTTGTAACAAAAGATCTTTGCAAACTGTGTAAGTGCAAATAAAAGGTGACAGATATTTTTCAAAGATTTAAAACATTATCAATATGTTTTAAAAAATTGAAATAATGTATACTTCAAAATTATACCTTTACTCTTAATATTGTGCTAAATTATAGAAAGGAACAAAAGTTGATTAAAAAATACAAAGTATCTCATAACATGCAAAATCCCCATGGCTAATAAAAGATTTTGGAGAATAGTAATGCTATGCTATCTAGTGGTGCCATCTTGTGGAAAATACTGAAGAAAGTTGAGTTTTGAAACTCATCCTTCTATTGCCTAAAGGCAAAGTAAACAGGTCTTGGAAAAATACTCAAACCTAACACAGAAGAAAAATTTAATCCCAATTATGGAGGTACTACTTAATGATCAATTTTAATCCATGATCATAAAAATCTCTTCAGAATTAGAATTAAATATTGAGTATTTAAAGATGCTATTTGATTCTAAATAAGAAACTAAATAACTGTCAAAAATATTAAATCACAAACTAAAATTTAAATTGTATAATATTTAATCACCTCAATTTGAAATTTGAATTTACTAATGAGCTAAAATACAGTAAAAGGGAATGTTAGACCACAAATTTTATAGAACCTACCCACTGTATGAGCCAACTTGATGTAAAACTGAAATTACTAAAAGAAAAAAGAGTTTTAATCTTACACTTTTATCTGATGCATGAATATCTATGTTTCCATAAACTGTTCCCAGACAGATCACGTTGCCTCCTTTTGTTTGAACACGTAGTTTTTGACTCTGAAACACAAATACAAAAATACATATAGAAAAAAAGAGAATAAATTTGACCTATACTAATAAGATGTATAACATTTCAGACATTTCTTTTAAAATAATAACAAAGCAGAAAAGAGGAACCAGGAATTAAATAGAAATGCACTGTTTGGAATAATAACATCAATTAGAAAAGAATGTCAACTGCTGTTAAGGAGATTAAATAAGTCATGTGGATTTAGAGGGGAAAAAAGAGCTACTTGAGTGTTCCAGTAGCTTCACTGAAAAAGAACTTAGGAATCAAAAATCACTGACTGGCTAACTAAACGTAAATGATAAGGAGGATGACAACAATAATCACAGTTACTGTTCATTGTTATTAATATTCATTAATAACAATATTTATCACTTATCTGGCATTTCTTTCACTACTTTACATTAACTATCATTTAATCCTCACAACAACTCAGAGAAATGGGTATAATATTTTCCCCATCTTACAGGAGAAATCCAAGAATCAGAAAGGTTAAATAACTTTATCAGGTGACACAGTTAGAAAAAAAATAAGACAGAATCAAGCTCTGTATAATTTCAAAACCCACACTGTTATGGCTGGGTTCATCTGAAGGATATATTTACACTGAGGATAACAGCCCACTAAACTTTGTAGCATAATACCCCAGAAACTGGAATTAAGTGAAAATTCCTCTAAGCACAAATAAAACAGCAGTCACAAATTACCTCCTCTGCCAGACCCAAAAAAAGAGAGTGTGTAACTTGATTCCACATTTGACAACTGTGACAGAAACTATTATTGGTCTATAAAAATCCTTTCTTCCCTGCAAAGTAATAGGAGTTAGGAGTATAGCTAGGCCCATGAAGAGACCATCTCTTAGGTGCTGCTAAGTTCTTGCCAAGAGAATGTAAGTGGAAATGCTATGTGCAATTTCCAGGGTTGTGCTTTTAGAAGAGTTGGTGTGCCTTCTCTGTGCTCTGCCCCTTCCGCCAGATGAGTGAAGGTTACAATAAGGCTGTAAGAGATGGCAGAGCCAGAAGATGGAAAGAACCTAGAATCACTGAATAGAAAAGAGCCACCCACATATTTAGACACAAGTGAGAAATAAACTATAGTTATATATGAGCCATTAGATGTTTTATCTATTTTTTAGAGTACCTTGCTTTAACTTAACCATTTACATACATCTTCAGTTCTGCCGCAATTATAAAAAGAATAGGTAAATAGCAGAGAAAAGAAAAATAGGTAAAGCAAAATCACCAATAACATGACCAGCAAGAGCAGAGAAGTGTCTAAAACACAGGGAGTAAAAATTCGAAACAACCATTTACCTTACAATTGCTTTATTCAGGGGGGAAATTTTACTGAAAGGGTAAAATGAATCATTCTTAAAAGTTTATCTGTATTACAGCATAACAGACTACTTCATGTCTATAGTAACATTAGTCTGAAGTGAAATGGTATACAATATAGTCTTTATCAAGCAGACAAGTAATTGACGACCATTAGAAAAGAGTATCTCCAAAACAACTGCTATTTTAAATCAAGCGTTCTTAACCAAGCCTATATTGAATTTCTAGAGTCTGAAAATTATAAAATTGTAAACAAAATTTCATATACATGTGCNAACGCTTTCTAGAGTCTGAAAATTATAAAATTGTAAACAAAATTTCATATACATGTGCTTTTTTTTTTTTCTGAGACAATCATCAGATAGTCAAAGAGGTCAAGGCTCAAAAATGTTGAGCTATTATTATAATTTAAAGCTCATCTAATTCCAAAAAAATGTGAAGAGGATTCCAAGGTGGAGGCAGACTGAGTGGAAGCTACACTGACACTCTCCCTGGACCAAACTGGAATTACAACTAAATTATAGAAAAACCACCCTGAATAATCAACTACAACTGAAGCCTAGCTGGAGAGCACCCTCGTAACCAAGGACCTAAAGTGGAGACCACATAGAGACTGGTAGGAAGTGCAGTGTAGTGTGCCAAGACAGCTGGCTGGGCTCCCACAGGCAGCAGCTAAAGGTCCAGAGGGATATTTCTGATGTGGAGGGTTCCCACTGAGAATTTTGGGGCCTAAACCCCAAGCTGGGTTTCCAAGCCCAGAGCACCAGAACTGAGAAAGGTGCCCACATGCATATGGCTGTGAAAAGCAACAGGGTTTCTGTCTGCCAGGGAGAGACGGCTGGAAATGCAGGTACGCTCTAAAGGGTCAAGGCACCGTTTTTCGTGCAACCACTCACCTTGGGCTCCAGCAGAGGGAGGGCAGAGTGGACTAGAGCAGTATGAGGAGACTCTAAGGATGTTGGCTCTAGGGATAGAGCTCAGAGGGCAGCCATCTGGATTCCTGTGCTGAGTCATTCCCCCATACTGCAGAGGACATCTTTCTCAGGCAGACATTTACCATCCAAGCAGCTTTTGTCTGGGGAGGAAGCAACTGCCCCACCCTGTGGAGTTTATACCTTCCTGTGGTCTACAGCTTGAGGCTCATTAAGAGACTCAGATCAATCAACCTGCAGGCAGAGGTGAACCTCTTGGTTCTTTGTCTTTGCCTGATTTGCTTCTGGACCCAGGGCTTGGGAAAGTAGACCTTGGTGCACATCTTGGTCCTTTCCAAATGCACCCAGCCCCAGCAGAGGGAACCACAAGTTGTGTAGTACACAAAACTTCAAACAGGGTACTCAAATAGCATCTGACATTGGCCTATACCAGAGACCATCCAAAAGACTGGGAGTCCTAGCAGATCTACCTAATACATAGAAACAAACCCAAACAGGGAGCCAAAATGTGGAGACAAAAAACAAGCCCCAAATGAAAGAACAAAAGAATTCTCTAGAAGAAGAGCTAGATGAAATGGAGATAAGCAATCTATCAGCTATAGAGTTCAGAACACTGATTGTAAGCATGCTCAAGAGCATGAAAAAAGATAAGGAAACTATGAAGGAAATTAAGAATGATACAGTAGAAATAAAAAATACATTGGAAGGAATAAACAGCAGATTAGGGGAAGCTGAGGATTGAATCAGCAAATTAGAAGATAGGGTAGAAAAAGTCCCTCAACCAGAGATCCAAAAAGAAAAAAATACAATTAAAAATTAGGAGGACAGTTTCAGAGAGCTGTGGGACAACAAGAAATGTAACAATATTCCCATCATAGGGATGCCAGAAGATCTAGAAAGTAAGCAAGGGTTAGAGAACCTGTTTAAAGAAAGAATGGCAGAGCATTTTCCTAACCTGGTCATTTCCCTAACCTGGTCAAATTCAGGAGGCACAGACAGTCCCAAGTAAGAACCCAGAGAGGCCCATGCCCAGACACATTATAATTAAAATGCCAAAAATTCAAGACAAAGAGAGAATCTTAAAGGCAGCAAGAGAAAAGCAATCTGTTACCTACAAAAGAGCTCCCATAAGGCTGTCAGCTGATTTCTCATCAGAAACTCTACAGGCCAGAAGGGAATGGCATGAAGTATTCAAGGTAATGCAAAAGAAGGATCTGAAACCAAGACTACTATATCCAGCAAAGCTATCATTCAAAATACACGGTGAAAGAAAGAGCTTCCCAGGCAAAAACGAAAAACAAAAAAAACCACTAAAGGAGTTTATCACCATAAAACCAGCATTGCAAGAAATGTTAAAGAGACTGCTATAAGAAGAAGCTGAAATTGAGAGAACAAGAAACATAGGCATAAAGAAATAAAATGGCAATAGACATAAGTACCTGTCAATAATAACCTTAAATATAAATGGAATAAATGCTCCAATAAAACGGCATAGGGTAGCTGAGTGGATAAGAAAACAAGACCCAAATATATTTAAGGNATAAATGCTCCAATAAAACGGCATAGGGTAGCTGAGTGGATAAGAAAACAAGACCCAAATATATGCTGTCTACAAGAGACCCACCTCAGAACAAAAGACTCACACAGGTTGGGGAAAAAAAAGGTTGAGAGAAAAAAAAGGGGGGAAAAGACTTCTGGAGGACTTTAAGGGAGAGATCGACAGCAATACAGTCATACTAGGGGGCTTTAACACCCCCTGACTTCACTGAATACATGTTCCAAACAAAAAATCAACAAGGAAACAGTGACTCTAAGTGACACACTAGATCAGATGGATCTAATTGACATTTACAGAACTTTTCCCCCCAAAGCTTCAGAATAGGCATTCTCCTCAAGTGCACATGGAACATTCTCAAGGATAGACCACATGTTAGGACACAAAACAAGTCTCTACAAGTTCAAGAAGATTCAAATCATATCAAGAATCTTCTCGGACATTTACACCATGGAATACTATCCAGCTGTAAAAAAAAAAGATCCCTTACCCTTTGAGACAGCAGGGTGGGATGTGGAGAGTATTATGTTAAGCAAAATAAGCCAGTCAGAGAAAGACAAGTATCACATGATCTTACTCATATGTGGAATCTAATGAACAAAACAAACCAATGAACAAAACAGATCCAAAGACATAGAAGCACAGGAAAGACTGACAAATCTCAGAGGGAAGACAGGCGTGGGTGGGGAATGATTAACCTAAGAATTTAGAGGCATATATGCATAACCTATGGACACAGACAATAGTATGGTGAAGGCCTGGAGGCAGGGTGCAGGATGGAGGGGATCATCTGTAGAAAAGGGGTCATCTGTAATACTTTCAACAATAAAGATAAATTAAAACACTTAAAAAATGTGAAGCAGATAAAAATTTTTATTTTTATTTATCTTTTAAATATATCTTTATTGATTTCAGAGAGAGGAAAGGAGAGGGAGAGAGAGATAGAAACATCAATGATGAGAGAGTCATTGATCAAGCCCACAACCTGGGCATGTGCCCTGACCAGGAATTGAACCCCAATCGCCTGGATCCTAGGTCGACGCTCAACTGCTGAGCCATGCCAGCCGGGCCAGATAAAATTTTTTAAAATATTAAAAACAAAATAGTTAAAATAAATGTTTACATCACTAACTACTTAATAATATAAACTATTATACTGCATTTAAGCAATGCCTATATGTGGCAATCAATGAGTTAAGGGTCTATTGCCTAAAATATTTACTTAGTTATTTTCTAAGAATGTTGAATAGCCTGGCTGGGTGTGGCTCAGTGGTTAAGCATTGACCTAGGATCCAGGAGATCAGGGTTCAATTCCTGGTCAGGGCACATGCCTGAGTTGAGGGCTTGATCCCCAGTCGGGGGCATGCAGGAGGCAGCGAATCAATGACAACTCTCTCATCACTGATGTTTCTCCATCTCTCTCTCCCCCTTCCTCTCTCTGAAATCAATAAAGATACATAAAAAAAAAAAAAAATGTTGACTAAATGTAGTATTGCCATACATTTTGCTTGGACAATAAAGAAAAGTGGATAGATCATGAGCTTGGTAATCAGAAAGACCCAATTCAAATCTCAGTTCAATTTATTAGCTATGTGAACCTAAATGAGTTTCTCAATCTCTTGGTGCCTCCTAATTTCTACCTTGATAAAAAGAAGGTAATTCAAGGATTAAATAACGATTTGTTTAAGTTTCCTGGTACATAGAAAGGACTGGTAAACACTAGCTATTATCATTGCTATAAACATTTTATTACATAGATCAAATATATTTCAGGACCTTAAAATGAATGGAACAGAGGTTCCATAATAGGTTATCATTAATTCAAGATAATGATATGTTACCATATTTAAAACTTAAAACAGATATTTTACCAAATGTTCCCATTTGTGAATTTAAGTCAGTTAACTCCTACGATCTCAAGAACAATTCCTTTAACTTTTGGTGTACACCATTAGGATGCACTGGACCCAATTACAGTTCTGGAATTTATTTTTTGAGCTGTTCTATATGTAAAGACTGATATTTCATGATTTTATTCTTTCTTAGAGGTCTTCCAAAGAACAAATAGAAAATTTTCTTATTTCTTAAAAAATAGAATAAAACTCATTCTATCCTAAAATTAATATACCAGTCAATTGGACTCTTTTGTAAATCTAAAAATACATTACAGGATCTTCCTGTTCTTATTTTTCATATGTCTTATAACACTGTGCTATTTCATTGTCCTGGAAATTATTTCATCATTAGTCAATTATTCCCAAATAAGCTAAAAAAAAAAAAAAGGCAAAAATAATAAGGCAATAGGATGATGGACTTGCCTAGAATGCTAGTTCTCAGCTAAAGGTGATTCTGTCCCCCAGAGACATTGGCAATGAGTGAAAATATTTTTCAGTCATAACTAAGGAGTGTGCTACAGACATATAGTAGATAAAGGGCAAGGATGCTGCTAAACATCCTACAGTGCTTACGTCAGCTCCTGATAACAATGAATTATCTGGCCCAAAATGTCAACAGCACCAAAGTTGAGAAATCATTTTTCATTTTATGCACACAATGGCAGAAAGAAGAAAGTTAACAAAAAGACCTTTTAGAATTATCAGATGAATCAAAAGATGAATGACAGCAGCATACTAGCTTCTGATTTTTTATTTTTTTTAACCCTCACCCAAGGACATGTTTTCATTGATCCCAGAGAGAGAGGAAGGGAGTAGGAGAAGAATGTGAGATAAAAACATTGATTGGTTGCCTTCTATACACGCCCGGACCAGGGATCGAACCCTCAACCTTCTGGTGTACAGAACAACGCTCCAACCAACTGAGCTACCCAGGCAGGGCAGCTTCTGAATTTGATTGTGAAACTGAAAATCTAAGACTCTGAGTCTTCAGAGGACAATATTTTATATGAATTTTCTGAAACTCAAGCATTGATGACAACAATATCTTCCTAAAGAGAAAAAGAAATGGAATATTCCATTCCAGTTAGTCATTCAACATGAAGTCTTCATTGTGCAGTCTTTTATAATAAGAACCTGAACCATTTCATTTTGCTACAAGGACGTGTTACAATATTCTTTACTCTTTTATATTTGTGCAATTAAATTTACTTAAAATGGTTCACATGTGGACAGATACTAAAGGCAGGTGTGCAAATAAAGGTGATTAGAACAAAATAAATATAAAAAAATTTTAATGCATTAAGTCAATCATTCTAATTAGTTTATAAATCTGAAAATGAAAGTGTTTTGCAATTATGAAGCAAAGATGACTGACTTCTCTTCAACAAAGTTATCTACCATCAAAGTTCACAAAAGTATTGTGAATATTTTGAATATACAAGTATAAGAAGCACAGTACCAGTAGTAAGGATAAGCCAGAACCTATAAGAGATGTATTTGAAATAATTTAGAACTGAGACCAATCTAATTTTAAGAAAATGAAGTATTAAAAACAAGTACAAAACAAGATGAATCATTTGCTGCTTAGCACAAATACCTATTTAATCCTTAAGTAATGAGCTAACTGGTACATTAAATGAAATCTAAAAGGAATATGAGGAAAAAAAATCTTCAAAGTTGCTACAACCTCTGTATTTCCAGTACAGAACTGATTTCAAGGCAAAATTTTTGCAAGTAATTTCTGAGTGATGAATAAATGATACTCAATATTCATAATAAATTATATTCAGAATAATAGCTTTAGTCTGATACTACAGTTCATAGTTTAAGGTTGTTTTTTATTTCAAATAGTGCTGAAATAAAATTAGAAAAATGCTTATACCTTAACAGACTGTAAGATACTAGTCCCCTGCTCAGTTTCAATTTTGCAATTATCACATTCAATATTTTGGACTTTTATACAGCCAGACCCTGATGACTTAATATTCAAATCTAGAAATGAAAAAAGAAAATACAAGTTAGTACTATTGTTAACAGGCTCCAAAGCATTTTAATGCCCCCTAGAAATCCAGTTCTTCAGTTATGTTCAGAATATTACTGGACCCTGGAGAGAGCATAGTTGTCAGTAGTCTCTCTCTAAGGGTAAGGGGGCTGAACTATGGCAACAGGACCAAATGTAACGGCTTTTTCTGCCAGTTTTTAGAAATAGGCACTACTGGGAAAGATCATAGAAGCTTCTTTCCCATTGAGAAAACACATACACAGAGTTCTAATAAGAATATAGCAAGTTAACAAGTCATGGTAAACTGGATACAGTAAGTCAATTAGCCTATTCTTCCTTATATTCATGAAGATACAAAAATTCATTCCCAAACCTCCCCCAGATTAAAAGCATTTCGCAGAAGTAGCATGGATCAGCATACATGATCATGACTTAGTATTTCAAATCCTACCTCAAACCTTTTGTATCTAAAAAAGAGGATATTACCATGCAGCTACATCACAAGGTATTTTCAGTAATAAAAAATGGGAACAACTTGAAAAACCTAGTAATAAACAGTATTAAAACCTCAAAATTGTGGGTGAATAACAGTATTACACAAAGAAAATTGGAAAACAGTGTCATAGGTGCCATCCTTAGCTATCAATTTAAGGTGTACTCATAGTTGTCTCTGTATAAAAATAAGAAAATAATAAACAATGATATTTAATACCTAATTCAAATAAATACTGATGATTTCCCTTAAACCAGACTAGAGAAATAAATACTATAGCGCTCCAAACTACTGGGGTATAACACCACAATTGCAATAATTATGGCATTAAAATAAATTTCTACCGTTGTGTAGATTGCAGTCTATAAAGGCTTAAAATAACAGCAATATTTGGGTTGGGATTAATCTAAAATATATAAAAAGACAATTTTACCTCATACTTCCATGGATGCAAATATAACTGCAAATATTTACCCAATTTTTTTACAACATAAGGCTTGATCTAAGGCAGCTTTGATAGATGTGTAAAGAAGGAAACAGATTCTAAATATACTCCACCCTCACTAGGTAGGTAGAAGTTAAGGCTAAACACTGAATGGCAGACATGCTACTCTTACCCATTCACTGAAATGGGTCTAGACATACTGGAGGAACAAGTATGAAGAAAACGGAATTCTGTTGATTTAAGGGGCTGGTGGAATCAACACATGGGAAAAGTCCACTGGAAATGGAGTTCTGGCTCTAAAAAAAGGAATCAACAAATAATGAGGTTTGGGATCAACAACACAGGTAGTTCCACTTTTATCTGTGTTGCCATAAGATTTTGTGTATCTCTATTTCAATTCTCAAGTCTGTTTTATACTATAATCTGTTACATTTTGAGGTCAAGGGTCTCTTACTCACCTAACTAAGAAGTAGAGAAGAGATAAAGCATAGTGGTTCAGCAGACTCGTCAGTTTAAATCCCAGTTCCACCACTTTTTATTTGAGAGCAAACAGGCGTATTTCTTGATCTAACTCCACTAGAATATAAATTTCATGAAAGCATGGACTTAATCCATTTGTTCACCCACAATAAACACATACTTCATGAAACTTACTGCATCTCAATTTCCTTGTCTGAGATGGCGACAAGAACATTTATGTACTTTATAGGTGCAATAGTAAAGATTAGAAAAGATTATTTTAGAAAAGTGTTAGCAGCTAGTATTATCAACAATATCCTTCAGTCTCAGGAAGGAGGAAAACCTGGGGAGACTGTCCTAGAAAAGTGCTGGCTTGCATTTGAGAAATAACACGCAATCCAAACACCTAGTAAACATATCTTGCAGGCATTATCAAGATATATTTCCCAGGCACTCTTACTACGATGTGTTTTTCTTCAAAACCTGCTATTCACGGAAAATTTACTTAGGTCAAACTGAATGAAGAGGTATCAGTAAGAAGCTGGTTGCCTATTTGAAACCAAACACTTGGTCCAGGTTAGAAGTGGAATATCCAATAGACGGGGCTGTTTTGAGGCAGACGCAAAAGGGGAAATGTGGATGGACTGCCATACTATGAAGGGATTATCAAGAAACGTGGACCCTGAAAAATAAGCTGCTTTTCTACTGACAAAGTGCAGTAACAGAAATAGGAACAAAGTGCCAAAGGAGAACATAAGGGGCTTCATAAATGTTACTTGACTTAGATTATTCCAAACCATGTTTCCATTCGATTTATAAAACTTCTATAAATGGGAAACGAATTTGTAACTCCCATTGGGAAACTCAAAGTAGAACAGAAAAAAAGAGAAAGCTTTTGAAGGGGACAATCGTAATTTAGGTTAGAAAGTCAGATCTAAAGGAACCAACTAAAAGTGCACGTCGGCCTGGGACCCAAAGCCGTTATAAATTCTCTTCACTTGCCAAACTTCAGGGGCGCGTTCACCTCCACGGACGCCTGGGGGTCAATGTTGTCAGACACAATGGCCACCTCCTTCAGCGCCTCGTCGTACGTCACCTGCAGGCCGGCCAGGTCCTGCGCCCCGCCCCCCGCTCCGCTCGCGGCGACCAGCACGCGGTCGGCGTCCGGGTAGGTGTGCGGGTCCAGGGGCCTCACGGCCAGGTGGCACGGAAGCCGCGCCCGCAGCCGACCGAACGGGCTCACCGGCAGCGCCCACTCCTTCAGAGTCCCGCGCGCAGGGCCAGGCAGGGAGGCCTCGGGCTCGGACCCGGGCCGGCGCTGGCCCGCACCTGAGCCGTTCAGCCGGATTTGGCAAGCCCCGCACGCCCAGCGCCCCGCGGCCTCGCCGGCCCGCACTCGGGGGTCACAGAGCAGGACGCCGCGGAGCCCCCGGCCGGAGCGGAGCACGAACATGGCGCGCCCCTCTCGCGCTACCTCAGATCACTTGAGCCACAGGCCAGTCTCACCACCGCCTGCTCAAGTCAGGAGATGTTTGCGAGGGTTTGCTGAAGTGGACCAAGACTGCTCACTGTGTGCAGCAATGTAAACCTCAGCCGCACGTGCCTCAGCGGCAAGTTGGAATTTCAAAACTGTAAGTCTGCACCCGGACCCGGAGCCTCCCCTTTCGCAAAGGCAGAAGGGATAGATAGTTATAAAGGGAGCCAAACTGCGACGGTTCCGGGCTGCTCGGAAACTACATATCCCAGGAGGCAATGCGCAGGGTAGAAAGCTCGTTGAGCCAGTCTTAGATTGTGCTCGGAGGGCGCGCGTTCTTTGCCTCAACTCCATTAGCCATTGGAGGGAAGGAAAGATGGATTACGTGATAATTCAGCTGGCCAATGGGAAGCGCGGAAGGAGCCAGGTGGGCAAGGCTATGTGGTTTCCTTGGATACCGAGGACGCGACTTTGGAGAGGGTGGAGCTTTAGAGTGAGACGCTGGAGGCGAACCTACGGAGAAACGCCGGAGCTTAAATAAGGATCAGTGTCGAGGGAAGGAGTGAGAAACTGCGGCTTTAAAGGTGAGAACTAGATGCAGACTAGGAGTACCCTTAGCGGGTGATTAGGTCCACACTTCACTAAACTGGAACGGGTTACCCTGGGTTGGAGGGTACCTTGACAAGAGGTTAAAAAGCCAAGTTGAAGCTCTTTGAGGGAACTTCCTCTTTGACAGAATATATTGGAACAGAGTTAGAGTCCTGCCTCATTCTGACTTTAAATGATCTTAGGCCAGTCATTGGATGTCTTTGTGTTTTAATTGCTCACTCTTAATATAAGGTCAACAATACCTTATTGGACTTGCCTCAAAAGGTTTTTGTAAGGATCAAATGAGATAATCGACGTGAACTCAGAGCACAGGCCACGAAATTGCAATGTAAAGTACTGTATTTTTATTTTAGGGATAACATTGACTATAAGTTACCAAGGAAAATCTGAGAGATCAGGACTTATGTTGACAGCAACATCGATCTCTTTGTCTACAAATGATCCTTGATTTTAGAACTGAAATAAAATACAAAAAAGAGTCAGCATAGTGCAGTGGGAAAAACATGGGACTGATTATTTTCCTGGCTCTGGATCACTTGGATCTGTTTCTTCAACCTTAAGATGAAGAGGGATTGTAGTGAATGACTGACTCTATAAGGTCTCTTTTACCTTTTATTATTCTGTGGGTAATTTAAAAACTGAAAAAGAAAAATTTTTTTTTTCTCTTGTCCTGATTTTTCCCTTTTGGTGCCACTTCCTCCTCCTACAAATTATTCTTTAAATTCTCAGCAAAGACACACTGCAAACAATGACATTTAATAAAATACAAGTGCAGAAACTGAATGCCTTAAAAAAAAAATTGAAGCCCTTGGCCAAGTGCAATAACCAGAATTACTGGGAGCTATAATGATAGAGATGGGCTAGAGTCCTAATGAGGTGGGTTAAAGTCTTTACAGACCCAAGTCACAGGGCTCTCTGCTATCCATTACCTTTCTTAAAGTGTAGTCTTAAGTTACTCTTTCCTCCTTTCTGTCCTAGTCCTTCCTCCCTCATTCTTTCTCCTGATGAAGGCTCACAATCGGTGCTAGCTTTTAGGTTCATCAAGTTCTGTTCTTGGTTTTTGTTTCATTTGGTCATAATTATTCAGACTGATCTTCAAACTGTCTTTTTTGATGAAAACGCAGGGGGATAACTTGGAAAAAAAATTTGAAAAAGGCACTGGTTTAAGCTAGTTGAGAATTCACTCAAATTTGTTGGACACATGCCATATATTTTTAGATTAAATAGGGCTTTCTAATAGATAATTTTGTTTCTATGGTAATTTCTTTTCTGAGGCAAACCAAATAAATGGAATTGGCAACTGACCCTTAATTGTCTATATGGCAAAATGATTGTTTTACTATTTTGAAGTAAATATAATAAAACTAAAGATCATTTACTGAAACATTACTTTTTTGGTCATATGAGTTTGAAAATGGAGAAAATTATTGACAAGATTAATACAATATATTAAAAAGTTATTGATACTTTAGAAAGTACTTGATTTATGTATCAAATCTGTCCACATGTTAATAATGACTAATAAAAATACTACCTTCCATCTGAATGACGTAGTTTTCAGAGCATGTTCATATGTATCATCTCAGGTATCCTCACAAAACACTGTGTTTCACAGGGCAAGTATTACTATCCTCATATTAGAGATGAGGAAACAAATTCAGAAAGCTTAAGATTAAAGTTAAAAGGTCTGTCCCTCTCACTACTCTACCAAAAGATCCTATCTTCCTGACACCTTTGAAGAAAAAAAATTATTCATCAAATAGAGAATCATGTATAAATTTTCCCCCTTATTTTGAGTTTATTTGTAAGATATTTTTACATCTTCAACTTTTAAAAAGTTGTTCCTGTGATCATGAACATATACTGCTGGTGGGAATGTAACTTATTACAAACTTTTCAGCCATCAGTTCATCAATATACATAAAGCACCTTAAAAAAATATGTGTATCCATGACCTAGATATTGTCCTTTTGGAATTTAATGTAAGCATAAAGTTAGGGATATTCAAAAAAATTTATGTTCATGGAATTTTGTTCCACAAGGTTTTTTATGATAGTAAAGAATTGAAGCAACTTAAATGTTCAAAAATAGGAGTATTGCATAAATTAGTATACATCTGGAATATTACACAGCAAGTTAAAATTATATTTTGAAGACTATTCAAGATATGGGAATTTTTCCATAATATAATTGTAAAGGGAAAATCTGCAGTTCTCCTTCTGCGTGTGCCCCCTTTACTCTCACACTACTACCACACTCACAACACTTCACTTCTGACACTTCTGGTCACCAAATGTGTGGGCCTTCTCCCCATAACAAGCAATTCTCTGTGACACCAGCTGGATCGCCTACAATTTAACTCAATTGTGACACTATTTACCTGGAGATAATGTCAGGTCCCACAGGTTAAGGACCCAGTCCCATAAAACTGCTTGAACTCACTTCAGATGCCAGTCACAAATAGTTGGTTACTCACAGCTTCTGTCTGATTTGGCTACAAGTTGGAGATTCCCATGACCATCTCCTTAGGTTCAATTAATTTGCTAGAATGGCTCACAGAACTCTAGGAAACATTTAACTTACATTCACCAGTTTATTAGAGGATATGATAAAGGATACAGATAAACAGCCAAAATGAAGAGATAAGTAGTGCTAGGTCTGGGAGGGTCCCAAGAGCAGAAGTTTCTATCCCTGTGGATATGGGGTATGTCACCCTCTTAGTGTGGATATGATCCCTGTAGAGATGGGGTGTGTCACCCTCTTGGTGTGAATTAGTGTAGAGCATATTCACACCAAGAGGGTGATGTACCCATCTCCACAGGAATAGAATAAGCTCCTGCCCTCAGTAATATTAAGTGAAAAGGGTAGAATACCAAATTGTATGTCTAGTATCATCCCAATGCTGTAATAATAATAGTAATTTTAACATAAAATTATATTTAAAAATATATTCCATAGAAACAATTCCAGGGGAAAATACACAACTTGATAACAATGGTTATCACTAAGTAGTGAGATAATGAATTATTTCTTCATTTTTTATGCATGTTTTTCAGTAGTAAACATATTACATTTATAATTTTAAATACTTAACACATTTTCTAGTATATATTGCTTCCTAAGAGTGACTCAATATGTAAATGCCCACAAATATTTTACTTTATTTAATAATTTATATTCATAAATGAACAGCAGAGGGCATGAGAGAGTTTTCAGAAAAATGTAACCTAAACAAGGATTATGGAATTCAGTTTAAGTGAGGGAAGCCATAGGAATTTGCTAACTTTCTCAGTTATAAACTTTTAAAATAAATATATCTTATTGCTTCTTATGAAATCTTAATAAACTCAATAATCTAAACTACTAACAGTACTAAGAAGTATTTAATGAATAGGTAGGTAGTCTCATTGAAATTTACATGTTATTTATCTCCATGCAGATGATATACAGGAAAATCTTTGTTATTTAATGTAGTCACATTTTCCCACTTTAAACACCTTGAGAAGTTACCCAGGTTACAAATATCTCAGGAAGATTCTTGAGGTAGGGGGATACATTAAAGCAGTGTGTGTGTGTGTGTGTGTGTGTGTGTGTGTGTGTGTGTGTGTTTAAGATAGTATTTATTGCGCCTGGCCAGGTGGCTCAGTTGGTTGGAGCATCGTCTGAACATCAAAAGATTGTGGATTCGATTCCCAGTTAGGGCACATACTTAGGTTTTGGGTTTGATCCCCAGTAGAGACATCTCTCTCCTCTCTCTCTCTATCTCTCTCTCTCTCTCTCTCTCTCTCTCTCTATCTATCTATCTATCTATCTCTATCTCTATCTCTACCTCTACCTCTATCTCTATCTCTATCTCTATCTCTCTATCTCTTTCATAAAACAAAAAGTTCTTCTGTAAGGATTTTTTTTAAAAAGATAATTTTTATTGCAACCACAATGTTGCAATAAATTTAAAAGCTTACTTTAGACTAGAGTTCTTGTGATGCTAATGTTTCATTCCATTTCTACAAGTAGCAGTAGCATTTCAACCACACAGTAGTAGCACTAATATATCCTTCCAGTAGAAATTGTATTTACATTCTATATATTTTGAGGCTATGTTGTTAGTTATATATGGGTTCAGGACTATTAGTGCTTCCTGATAACTTTTTTTGTCATTAAATAATGACCCTCTTTATCTATAGTATTGTGTTCTCTCTTGATGTATATTTTCATCGAATTATATTTTCATCCTTTTATTTCAAAACTGTGACATTATATTTGGGACTTGTCTGCTATAAACAGAATAAAGCTTGATATTTTAAATCCAGTTTGAGAATCTGTCTCAGCAGGTAAATTTAATCCATTTACATTTTTCATAATCACTTTTACATTTATACTTATTCTTACCATTTTGTTTTGTGTTTTCCACTACCCTTGCCTTTTGTTGTTCCTCTTTTTCTCCATTCACGCCTTCTTTTAGTCTAAATGTTTTTCTTTACTCACCTTTTTCCTTTATAGTAATTTGGAAAGCTATTTCTTTTCTTCTAATAATTATCCTTAAAATGATAGCATACCTACTGGACTTAGCAGAAGAACAATCAATCAAAATCTTCATCCTCCTTTCACACAACAGATTTTTTTTTGTTATTAAATATGTCTTTATTGATTTCAGAGAGAGGAAGGGAGAGGGAGAGAGAGAGGTAGAAACATCAATGATGAGAGTCATTGATCAGCTGCCTCCTGCAGGCCTCAGACTGGGGATGGAGCCCGCATCCCTGGCATGTGCCCTGACAGGGAATCGAACCC